CCTCCTCCTCCTCCTCCTCCTCCTCCTCCTCCTCCTCCTCCTCCTCCCTGCAAACCCCATTCCCTTCTATCACTGATCTTGTTACCTAGTTGGGTCATGAAACATCTGCAAGGAAACAACCAAGCTCAGAGAGCACCAAAGACTCACAATCTGCTTCCTCCTCCTCCTCCTCTCTACAACCCCCACTCCTAGCACTGATGACGTTACCTAGTTGGGTCATGAATTGTCTGCAGGAAAACCACCAAGTTCAGACAGCCCTAAAGAGCTCACAGTTCAATCCTTTAAAAAAAGCGACTTAGGACCGTTTTTCACACCATCATTGCAGCATCCCGTGGTCATGTGACCCAAATTCGGCCTCTTGGCTACTGACTCATATTTACGATGGTTCCAATGTCCCAGGGGGTCATGCGATCCCCTCTTGCGACCATCTGGCCAACAAAGTCAATGCAGAAGCCAGATTCACTTTACAAACCCGGGTTACTAACTTAAGAACTGCAGTGATTCACTTAATAACGGCGGCAAGAAAAGTCGTAACATGGGGCAAAACTCGCACGCTACTCTTTGTTTCGCTGAACAACGGTCATTTCAGGGTCAGTTGTGGTCGTAAACCAAGGACTTGCCTGTATTTGAGCAGTAGCACATCTGAGCGGATTGAATTAATTTTTAGATCCATAATGACAGAAACGCACCTGCTTGGTTTTTGTGGGTTGGCTAGGAAAGGTTTATTCCCGCTACCTCTGCCTTTTGATGGTGTTTAAAGTGGATGGGGAAAAAAAATTAATGTATTTTTAGTCTGAGCTTCGGCCGCTGAGCTTATCAAGGGAAGCAGGAGGAGGGGGGGGGGGAGAAATTGCACGCTACTTTAACCAGCAATTTTGTTTTTCTTTCAAACGGTGAGATTGAAACGCAAGTGACAGGAGTGGGAACGGGAGGGCTGTTGAATTCTGCCGGAATTTTTTTCCTGTGGGAATCAGGGGAATGTTTTGTAAAAACTCCGGGTGGTAGGGTTATTGTTGTTGTTGTTGTGATTTCGCAAGGTGACCTATCCGACGTCTGCATATTTGGAAAGGATAGGATGAATTAGAAAACAAAAGTTTTGGGGACCGCGTGTTGAAAAAAAAATGAGCGTTGGAATTCGGAACATGTCAGAAGAAGAAGAATTTTAAAAAGCTGCCCTTAGTTGGAGACATCCAACATCCTTCTATTTTCCCTGGGATCGACTAACTTGCCAGATTCCAGAAGAAAAACTGCTGGTGACCTTCTACCGCTGCACCATAGAGAGTTTCTTAACTTATTGCACCTCTGTATGGTTTGCCAATTGCACAGGGGCAGATAGGACAGCGCTCCAGAGGGTTAAGGTCATTGCCCAGAGGATCACAGGTTGCCCTCTGGTACACCACAGGGTTGCGTGTTGAGCCCCTTACTCTATACTCTTTATGTGCATGACTGCATTCCCACTCACGCTAGTAATACTATTGCTAAATTTGCAGATGATACAACAGTGGTGGGACTCATTTCTCTGGGGGGGTGGGGGGGAATTGAGTCTGCCCATCAAGATGAGGTGGACTGGTTGCTTTCGTGGTGTGGAGACAATAACTTGGTCCTTAACACTAATAAGACCAAGAAGCTGATAGTGGACTACAGAAGGAACAGATCAGACATCCAGCCCTTGCTTATCAATGGAGACCAAGTGGAGCAAGTGAGCAGTTTTAAGTTTCTGGGTGTTACCATAAAAGAGGACCTTACCTGGGGTGCTCACATTGCAGCCCTGGTCAAAAGGGCCCAGCAGAGATTAGACTACCTCATATATTCTCAGAAAACAACAACTGAATGAAAAACTGCTGTTGACCTTCTACCGCTGCACCATAGAGAGCATTTTAACATACTGCACCTCTGTATGGTTTGCCAATTGCACAGGGGCAGATAGGAAAGCGCTCCAGAGCAGGGGTCCTCAGGGACCACCAAACTCATAATTTTAAATCCCAGGGACCACTAACCGGTTCTGTGGGCGTGGCCTAGTTTGTAGGTGTGGCTTTGTGGTCATGTGACTGGCTGGGCATGGCTTGTATATAAAAATTATGAATATTTATATCAATATTGAATTTTTTATTTAAAAAGAGCAACTTTTACCCAAAATCAGGCAAAGCAGGCAGGCAGATTGAGTTGCTCACAGAATCATTGAGTGATCTATCTATCTGCCATCGGCTAGCTCAGTCTCTCAAATTTGCTTGCCGTGAGTCTGCACTGAATAATAGAACCTTCAGTCCTAAGGGAGTTTCGGCTGTGCTTAAAAGCAGAGCGGAAGATCTAAAGACTAGCTAGAAAGCAAGAAATCCAACCATTTCCTGCTTGCTAGCTAATCTAAATCTCCTGGCACAGCAGAACAGCTGATAGTCGGGGAAAGGACAAATAGCAATTTAGCAGGCAAGTTTGCCAGGTAAGGAGTGAGGGAAGGGTTCCCACAGGTAAGGAGGGGCAGGAGAGGGGTTCCTATAGGCCATGTGGGCAGCGCAGCCTTTTGTTTCTGCACAGCCTGGATTGATTGCTTTGGGGGTTCCTCTGGGGGTGAGATTTGTCTGCGGCCCACCAAAAATTTCTCAAGGCCCACCTGTGGGCAACCGCCGAAGTAGAAGACCTCTCAGGGGCCTTCCAGCTGTCTTCTGATGATCGAACTAAGGGGCTAGTTTGCTGTATTTTTTTCCCCACAAAGGCAATAAAAGGAAGGATCATTAATTGTAGATCTCGCTAACTTATTTTGTGGTGGAAGCTCCTACTTCTCTCTAACTCTCCAAGTGTCTTTAAACAATGTAGATCTAACGCATTCCGGTGGCCAACCAGGACTAAAATTGACCTCTGGAATCTGGCAAGTTTGTCGATACCCAAATCCAACCCTCAGTTACTCTGTTATCATTATCATAACTATCTTAATTGCTCTTCTCTGCACTATTTCCAAAGTCTCAGCCTCTTTGGAAACAGGGCAGAGAAGAGCAAGTAAGATGATTTAACCAGACAAGATTTGATAAGACGGTGGTAACTCCCTCTTTTCCTGCGCCAAGTTTGCACCTTAGATAAGACCTTTGTAAAAACACGCACTTGGCACATCTCGTTCCGTGCCAGCTAAAGATTCCTCCCCAAATTCACACACCGCAAGTCTTATCCTTCCATCAGCAAAACTTCAGTCAATCACTTGGGGAAGGAAGAACAAGAGTGATTAAAAATTTCCTGATCCTTCCAGATTGCCTTTAGGGTGACTCTGGTGTGTGTTTATTCTGCTTAGCCGGGAAAATATATACATTTTCCAGAATTGCTCATCGGCTTCCAGGATAATTTCCTGTGGCATGTTTCTGAATTAAGACAGGGCACCCTAGGAAGAGATGCATGCCAGCACTTGGAAGGTCTTGAGAAGTTTGGCCATTGTCTTGGTGGAGCTTCTTGTGAATTTTGTGACGCCTGGTGAATTTTGTACCAAGAATCAGCCGTGCTGAAGATCCCGAGGAATTGAAAGTCACCCAAAGCAAATCAATCTTGAAGATTATTCATCAGCATTGACAGCTGACATTCGGAAAGCTAACAACCCCAAGGGTGACATCAAAGAACGTTGGAGGAGGAGTTGCGTTCACGCCTTGCATGCAAACAATAAACCAGCATGTAAAATTTGTTTCTTAATGAAGATCTGGATGAAGTCGAGAGATGCAATCTGTTAAAATTAAAACTCCGGCTAATCGTTGGTCTCACCCATCAATTGTAACTCAGGTTGCTCAGTCTGGTTCAGATGCCAACTGCAGATAATTAAGAGAAGAGAAGAGAAGAGAAGAGAAGAGAAGAGAAGAGAAGAGAAGAGAAGAGAAGAGAAGAGA